CCTTCCCAAAACCTCCAAACACCATAGATTTTCATTGCGTTTTCATTACATTCTATATTCGTTTCGTTCGGCCATCGACAACTCCAATCCAAGAAAGAGGAGTTCAAGAAGAGAGGGGAGGGAAGGATGGGTAGGACGGGTGAGGGTCATAGTCATGGTTGTTTACCCCCCTGTCCCTGGACTGTCTGGAAGACCGCCGCGGTCTGACGAGAATGGGTGTGTGACTCGGAGAGGTGCCATTGTGAGTAGAAAAGGCTAGATGCCTTTTGGCATGTCCAGTGAGGCAGGTGTACATGGAGTCTACGTAGAGGGGCGAGCTTCAAGGATCTGAGCCCCAAGACGCGAAGAGATAAGCTTTGGGAGCTTCGTGGCTGCTTGTGTTCATCAGACCTGAGTAGTGACATCGATACGATTGCGGGGCCTCTCAATCTGGAGGCATTTCTACCAAGACCGCGAGCCATTTCGCTCCAACCTAATAGCGCTGGCCTGCAACCTAATAGCAACGGCCTCCAACCTAATAGCGATGGCCTCCAACCTACTAGCCATGGCCTCCAACTCAAGAGCGGTGGCCTCCAACCTAAGAACGATGGCCTCCAACCCAATAGCGATGGCCTCCAACCTAAGAACGATGGCCTCCAACTCAATAGCGATGGCCTCCAACCTAAGAACGATGGCCTCCAACCCAATAGCGATGGCCTCCAACCTAAGAGCGATGGCCTCCAACCTAAGAGCGATGGCGGCCTCCAACCTAAGAGCGATGGCCTCCAACCTAAGAGCGATGGCCTCCAACCTAATAGCGATGGATGGCCTCCAACCATGGCCTCCAACCTAACAGCGATGGCCTCCAACCTAATAGCAAGCCATTTGGGTGAGGTTTATCGGGCCCAGTTCTATGTTTCAGCGAGATCGGCCTCGGCCTAGGCCATGCGCTTCTTCCACGCGCTGGCGGCTGGGTGCGTGCCGGTCATTGCGCGGGGTCTATGTTCCACAGGTTTGCATAGGTGAGGTGGGTGTAATAAGAGCAAAACGCTCAATAACATTAGAATGAAAGACACTTGATTGATTTTTATTATGGAATACATTGCCATTCGTTTTTTGATCTTCGCTTTGTCTTTAGTTAACGTCAATTGAAAAGAGCAACTACAAAAGAACATTAAGCTGAAATGGGTAGTGAAGATTCATGTCAGGGACTTTTAGTTCCATACTGGTTTTGATCCATTTTGTCTTGGAAAGTGTGGGGCTTCTAGTGTGGAACTTCTATGCACCTCGTTGGATCATTCTTTGACCTATTTTGGAGGAATCAAACTCAACAGGCAGGGATTTGCAGTGTGTTCCCCTCCGCCGACTGAGTGGATACATGATCAGTTCGCCGACTTTCCTGAGGTCGGTGGCCCCACCAACACGGTGCCACTGCCTTTTGGTGAGGTGGTCGGGTGGGGACGCTGGGTGGGAGTTGACCTGCGAAGTGGCTTCTGTTCAACTTGTTGCAGATGCTTGACTCCAGCAGTTGAGGTTATGTGAGGGGCTAAGCCGGGTGTTCGCAAGTCACTGAGCTGATGTGAGCGCCATAGCGCGCCAGTTTGTGAACTACTCCCGTTTCGCCCGCTTTGCGCGGGTGCGAAATGCCTGGACCTCGGTGCCAGCTGCCACATATAGACTCTCAGTGAAACCGAGGTCACAACGTGAAACCGTGAAACCAATCAAAATTGGCCAAGAAAAACATCAGCCGTTCAGAACGCACCGGAAGCGAAAGGAAGCGCTGGTAGCGTCCTTGCTCCTAGTAGCGATGCCCTTTGTTCCTAATAGCACGAATGCTCCTAGTAGCGATGGCCTCCAACCTACTTGCGATGGTCTCCACCGAGCATAGCGTCCTTGTTCCTAGTAGTGTCCTCTTGCTCCTAGTAGTAAGGCCATGAGCGCCCCTTCCATTCGGAATGCCCTTCGGCTCAAGTCTCACTGCCCGGTGGGGGCCCAGGTGCCGACAACGGGATCTCTCCATGGCTCCCGTTGATGGGATCCACTTGAACACGTTACTTGGGACACTCCGAGCCACTCCATGAGGACTAGGACCTAGAGGACCGTAGGATCAACACTCCCAAAAGAGGCTCCATTCTTGGATTCTTTATGATTCTTTTGATTTTAAATTATCTTCCCCGGTGGATTTTCCATCTGAGAATCTTGGACTCTCCACGGCTGAGCCTTTGTGAAGCGTGGCCACCATGAGCTTCCTCTCCGCCCCGACGCTGCGCAGTGAAGCCTATTTCAGCCCGGGCGCCAGCGAGAAACTTCAGAGGCTCCAGCAATCTCAGCAGCTGGCGCCCGTGGCACTCAGCAGGAGAAGGGGGTTCTCAGGGCTGAGAAGAGCTCCCTCCCTTCGTTTCAGAACAACTGGGTCAGAATGGGGCGACCTTGCAGAGTTCAGAATGGACCCCCCGGCACCGCATTCCATTCCAAAACAAGGGTCTCTCTGAAAACTTCGAGCCCCCCACACCCGAAAGCAAAAAAGCTCAGGGGGGCACCTTCCATGGCTGAGAGCGATGGCCTCCAACCTAAGAGCGATGGCCTCCAACCTACTAGTACTAGTGATGGTTGTTCTGAAGTGAAGCTGCAGGATTTGCAACTTCAGCCTGGGCTCACTGGTTCTGACAGCCAAGCCCTCACAGAAGCTGCCCATTGAGCGGGAGGAGCAGCTCGGCCTATGAGTGTCTTTGGTGTCCCAGCTGCTTCGTTTCAGTGAAGCCCGACATGTTTGGAGATGAAGCGCCTGGGCGTGCGAAGAAAGAACCACATCCAAACGGACGTAGGTCAACCGAAAACGACCGTTGCGACGAGGATTCGCCTGAAGACCGCGCTCTTGGGGATCGATTGGGTGAACGCTCCCGTGGACGCGAAAGCCGTGCTGTTGGTCTTCCCAGGCATCGGTACCAACTCCAGGAGCCCAGCTGTTGGCTGTTGGGATCCGGTGAATAAAGAGCCTTGCGTTCGTTTTGAAGCCTTAAGGCAACGATTGGACCAAAAGGTATATGATTCGCCCGGTGTTTTCGCTATATGACTTATATGACCTTTGACAAGACCAGGAGCGGCTTTGCTGGGATGTCGGCGCACCACTTGTCAACCAGCTTCCCGAGCCTCCGTGTGGGTGTTCCTTGGAGAAGTTTCAAGACAGACTACAGCCTTGTGTGGAACACGCAGTTGATCTTGTTGCGGTGGATCTTGGCGATGCCATGTCAACGGATCTTCAACATGCCCACAGGGCATTGAGGCAGGTCAGGCCCTGACGCCGATTGAACCCCCCTTGAGAGGTCACCGACACTGTCTTTGCTTGTTTTTGGAGTTGAAGCCTGAGGTTGCAGTGCTTCAAGGACACGACGGTCTTCCTTTGCAGTCGACGTGTTTTCCTGCGACTGCCTATGTGTCCATGGGCGACACTGGACGCATCATCGAACATACGAGTGCGCAATTTCCAGGCCCGGAACTTCAGTCCTGTGGCCGAAGCGTTTCTCGGCTCGTCCCCCGCTCAGACGGCTCCGCACCTCCAACCCTGGCGGACGACCGGATGCGGCAGGTCTTCCCTTGGTCGTCATGGCGTGCTCCATTGGGGCGGCGCACTTCACTCACTGGGCTGGACAGGGATCCGGGGTGGAACAACCGTTGGTCGGCGACTCGTAGAGCAGGGGAATCAGGGGATACGCCAAGACATCTTGTGGCGAAGTAGATGCGAAGTAGGATGCCACATCATACCACCATTCCGAATCATTGGGAGAGATGATAGTACAGGAGGGGAAAGCACCCACACTCAGGCATTGCCAGTGAAATCAACATTCAGCGTAATCACCCAAATGCCTAAGACAAAACATGAGAATGAATGACATTAGATGCCTGGCACGCTGCGCGAGGAACGCATCCGGAGAAAGCCAAGCAGTGTCGTGTGGTTGGAGCCGTTGGGAACTCAGCCCTACCACACTCTGTGGTGGACAAATGTCGCGACTGTCCCAGGCGCACGTTTTCCAAACATAGATCCTGGCCTGGAAAAAGCCCGCGATGAGGAGGAAACAAGTTGAAATGTACTCTTCATGGCTTTTATTCCCGTCTTCTTAAATAGGCATTGAAGAATTCCAGAATCCTAACGTGAGTGATTCAAGGAGAGTCCGCTGGTGAAGATAAGACACTTGAATCTGCCTTCAAATGCATTCATCACTCATCACTCACAGCATTGCTACCTTGCCGGTGTTTGCATTTGCAACTCTTAGATGGATCATCTACCAGAAGATATCTCGAAGACATTCTTCACCTGCATGCTCCCAGTCTAGCCACTCCAATTTCATCTAAAAGAAATAACTATAACACTTCTTCTAGCTACCAGTCTAGCCACTCTTCTATTCTTTGCTTCTGCGGTTGCCAAGTCTCTACACTTCCCCAGGTGTTGGTGTGTCACGGCTATGCCTCGCGTCCCGCGGCCCATGCGGTGGACTCCTCCGGCGCGGCGCCCTTCATTCTGGGTGCCTACAGGGATATACTCAGGCGCCGACGCGGGGCACGCCGCGGTGCGCCGACGCGGGGCAACTGCTGGGGCTTGGCTCAGAAGCTGAAGCTGGTTCGTTTGATAACAGGATGGTGCATGTGTTTCCCCCCCGAAGGTCGCCTGAAATTCTTATTCTTTCGCTTCTTTCCAGCTTTGAGGAATTCCAGCTTACCTGCATGGCAGACACCAGAAGAATCCCTGACGCCGTCGTCGGCGGATGGATTTTGGGGTGCAGGAGGAACGTCCCGAATCTCGAGATTTTTGCGGATGACTTCCCGGACTTTGAGCCCTCCAAGCTCTGGGCTGCCCAGACCCTCCGCAGCTCGGCGTCTGGTTTTTGGTGATTTTCTTGAAGTTCATGTGCGATGGGTCTGGATGGACCTGGATGGATTTTTACATCCGTACTTGGCCGGCCTGCAAGTGAATATGGTCCCAAAAGTTCACTTGAAGCCCAAGCATAAGCACCTGGTGCTGGGACAACCTCAGCAATGCGTCCAGCAACCGAGGTGAATGGGATGAGGCTCTGCTGCCGGTGTATGGCATCCAGCGCTATGAGGCAAGGGTTGGGCCAACGCCTTGCCCCGATGCATCACACTGTGACCCCCAACCACCGCAGGATGTCCTTGATGCGGTGGATACCACCCCAGAGATGCTCCAAGCTCTGCCGATGCCCGTGGTGTTCGTTGGAGCGGCCAACGATGCTCGTCGGCCGGGTTTCGCCCTACTTGAGCGGCGGGGAAAACGGATAAAGAGACACGTTTTTGGTTGAACTTCTTGTTGAGATGCTGAGAGCGTGAAGAGGACAAGGTGTTCAACTCGACAGATGTGCGCGATCACAAGCAGAACCTGAAGAACATTTACCGCCTTTACCTGGCCAGATGTTGCAGTGATTGGAGCCTGAGGACCCCATCACTCCCTCGACGCGGCTGCTGGAAGGGCAGGTGCACCAGTCGGGTGGCCTCAGCAGTCGACGTTGGTTTTTTTGGGGCGTGGTGTTTCGAGGAGGGCTTTGTTAGCATGTTAGGAAGCTTTGGAATACTGTAGAATGGTAGGCCGTCCAGGTTTAGGGTATGCATGGGCAGGGAGGTTTCATGCAATTTCTTAGATTTAAGGAATCCCCGAACTCCAAGTTCTGCTTTCCATCTCCAAAAAGCTGAGTTTGAAGATGTCATCCAACTGAAGCTCCACGTGAGCTCACACTCCTGGCCAAGCTGCACAACTTGGAACGCTCAACAAATGCCAAGACCGAGGCTGGTGCCCGATTCCGCATTGATTCACTTGAGTCACGGGAGCCACATGGCCTGGTGGCAGGGGCCTTTCTGGCAGATGTCGCAAGAATGGGCCTGCGAGACTTGGCGAGGCATTGGCCGGGTGGTGTCACGGTCTCCGGAAGATGGCCTGAGAATGGGTCAAACAGGGTCAAACAAATGTTGAACCGTCTTCTCTGACGAGTCACTTCACCAAGGACCTCATGACGGAGCTGGTCTCCATCCTCGCCGATATGCCAAAGAGGCCAACGTTGTTCGGCAGCGGTGTTGCAAAGAAGGATTACCTGCCAGGATTAAGCGATCTATGTTGGAAAGGGTTTAGCCAAAGCCCAAAAGCTGTTTAAGAGCTCTCTAATCGTTAGTTGTTTTTCTCTCTGTAGCCTTGGACGTTCAAACGTTCAAACACCGTTTGGCAATTTGAACTTTTGAGCCACAAACTTGCAGTTCTTTTTTCTTCAGCCTGAGCCTATCCCCAAAGGGTTCATTAGACCCGGAAAAAATATGAGTCGCTCTCGCAGCCTATGGCTTCGGTCCCGGTCCTGGTGGATGTTTCCGGGCCGATTCGTCCAGGCCGGCAGAGCAAGGGCCAAAGAAGTCGATGTTCTGCGTGGCATGCGAGGCGCGGATCATGGGAGGGGCTCACCTGAGGATGCCTGACCAAGAAGAACACTGCTGCTCCTACACACACACACACGTGCACATACACAGAGACACTTTTTTAAGTTTCTTACACCATATAACATATTCTCATATTTCATATTTCTTTTTGGATTAGCTCCTTTGCTTTGCGATGAGCAGTTCGTTTGGCATGTTTGGTGGTCTCCGCTTCACCACCGTGGCCTACTTGAGGCAGTCGGGAGGATGTTTGGACAGTCGCATGAGGGCAGCAAGTGAGATGGCTCCGCGGAGCTGGGAGCCGGAAAGCACATGAAAAGCACGGAGCATCCTGAGGAGATCTGGGATATTCAAGGCGGCTGATTCTTCTCGAGCCAAGACTTCTCTTGAAATCAAGTAAATCTTGGAATGTTTTGACATCTCCAACCGATCCCATGCCAAGATCTCCCCACCTTTTATCTGCCTGTGATCTGTTGCCTAAGATGTCGTGATGCCTAAGACAGGCCACGGCTATATGTGGGTTGCTTGAGCTGGCCATACATGCAGGAAAGAGCACGGTGAACTGCGAGTTAATTTGAGAACGCACTCATTTCTGGAAGAGCGGCAAGTTCTGGTTCAATGGCACATGTTCCAAGTCGTTAAGGATGATGAGGATTGTGCCTTGTGCCCCCTTTGGTTGAAGATGTGTCGCTTTTGGGATGGTTTTGTTCCTGCTCTCAGCAGGAGGTGGCCAGGAGAAAGTCAAACCCAACACGTCTATATGCTTCATGATGGGCCCTGATGCTTGGCGTCGCTGGATTAGCCAACCCGTTGAATTAGGAATTTCTAGAGACCAACCGTCACAAGTGGAGACTTAAGACCAAGTGCCAAAAACCACGATGTTGTAGACCTAGAGCTTGATTGCGTTTTCCTCATGGGGGTCTGCTTCCAGGTGGCCGATCTCTTTTTGAATGTATGCTGAAACAATTCTGCACCCTCAATACACTTAACAAAAAGGAAGCGACACCTTCTCACCGGGCCCACCATTTCGAAGTTCCCGCTGCAGCGCCCGAAGTGCCGCTGGTTTGGCGCTTTTTTGGGAACCCCGCGTGGAACACGTCGGGCGAAGACCTCGGTGACACCGCGGAGACGCCATGAGTTGAAAAGAGCAGAAGCCGAGTGGTGTGGAGTGGGTGCAGCCGAGTGGGAGGTGGGTCCCAAGGTCAGCAGTGGAGGATGGTGGAAGGATGGGCGTAGATGGAGAGCCTTGATGAGCCACGTGGAGAACGTTCGGCCTCAAATCTCGTGAAGTCCTCCTCGGTGACTTGGTGTCGTGAGGTCTCGGATGCCCAGGAGCTCTTGTTGGAGCTCTTGAAGGCGGGAGGATCTGGAGTTCAACCAAAATGGTTGGTGGACTTGAAAGGGCAAAGGATCCAGGTGCTCTGTCTATAGCTTGAGTACGAAAGGTGTATGTACAAGGGGCCTTTTGGCAAAAGGGTTTTGTAGAAGAGTGGCGGTTTGTAGTGGAGTGTGTGCAATGCAGGGTTCCTGATTCTTGAAGGGATTGATGATAGGCGATTGGGTGTTCTTTTCTTGCTTTTCAGGTGTCATTTGTCTGTTTATTTCAACATTGGGAACTGTTACACGACATCGGCTGACGAAGTGCAATGAAGAATCAGCAATGGACATCAAGGCCAGCCTGGTTTTGTAAAGTTCAGCTTGACAGGGAGAGACCGAACAGTGCGGTTACAGTCCGTTGATGGGCAATTTTATGCAGAGAAACTGACTGAGAAAGCTCACTCCTGGAGCCTCGTTAGTGCCGATGCACAAGGGACATGCATTTGCAATATTGAAATGCCGGGCTTTATTCTATATGCCATGCATATGCTTTATACCTCCTTATTGCCGTTACTTTGCCTTATTCATGGCTTTGAGTCGGCCGTATAGCTCCAATGATGTCGGGTGTGGCGGGAGTCAGGCCAAGACCATCGATCGGACGGAAGCCGACCAAGAAGAGCTGCGACCGGGCCGCGCTTGGAGAAGCGGTTTCGGGTCGCAATGGACGTGGCATCTCTTTAAACGGTCTTCTGCGCTGCACCTGTTTGCTGTTCATTTTGGAACCCTACAGGTGCAGCGCCTCCGGGCACGTAGGTTAGTGATGTTGGCTTGAGACTTGGGTACGCGGGCTTCTCGTAGTCCCGGTTTGTGTGTTCACTGGTCGAAATTTTCGCCTCTGGAGTGATCAAATGTTGGAATTGAGCCCTTCCCAGATCTTGCAAAGCAAGCTAGAATCTAGAAGATGACCGCCCTTATGTGATTGGCGTTGTGGAGTGCCTTGGCCGAGGCTAGCTGAGATCGGTGGGCTCTTCATGAAGTCACTTGGCCAAAATTCACGGTGCTTTGTTTTCACAGCTGACAGCACTGTTCATTCCAGCAGCTTGACCCTCCACAAAAGAAAACCAACACAAGTGTCACAAGTGACTGTGAGGCACGAGGGTTGCCACTGGGCCTCGGGGCAGCCTTTCTTGGACCTGTTGGCCAAGTCCTTTGAGGCCAGATTCGTGCTGTTCTTTCTTCCTTCGACATCTTTTTTCTTCAAGAAACTCCATTGATGAAGACCTTCTATGTGGTGTGCGTGACCATGCCAACTGCGGAGGCAAGGGCGAAGATCTGGCAGCACATGCGCTGGTACAACTGAAGAGTGTTCCCATGTGACGTGGAGGGTTTCGGCCAGCATGGCGCTGGTTAAACGGCACAAGCTGAGGGCCAAGGATCCCGGTAGACGGCGTGTGGCTCCAGGCCGAGACGAAGCAGTCTCTCAACCGGCCGACGCCGACGTGTGTGATCCGTGCGATGGAGAAAAAAAGGACATGTTCAACATCAGAGCTGCGGGGTGCAGGTGAAGGGTGAATGCATTCAGGCTATACACGAGTATCATATGAGTAGATAGCGACTGTTCCAGACAGATGGCTCATGATAACGAAACGCATGCAGATTTGGTGATGTTGGGCCAGTTTGTCTGAAGGAAAGCTGACACTGCTTCAAACCGAATGCTACCCAACGCAATCTCCTCGAAACAGCTACTGCATATAAATGTGTCTGATCCGGTCCGGACCTGCAGACCAGTCCTTAAACCTTCTAAACTCCTGGAAATAGAGGTAAGGGAACAAAAACGATCCCGGCTTGATCCTGCAAGCGACCTCTATGCAAAACGATCCTTGATATGCCATTTGCATCAATGCTGGTGTTTTTGCTTGTGATGATGCGAGCAGCCAGGCCCAGGTGAAAGAAACACAGATGCTTCAATCCTCGTTGGACACTTTTGCGCCACAACAAACTGTCCGACACTTTGTGGATTCTACCGAGGGTTGCGGCGGTACTAGCGGCCGTTTTCCTCACCCCGGATGGGCCGTGCGGCAGAAGCAGCTTCAGGCCCCCACTGGAAGGGAGCATCTGAGAGCCTTGGAGTTGTGCTAAACGTTGTTCGATTGATCTTGAAGGTTCAGTTTTTGTGCAGGTGCTTGAGCATCTTTGCTGGCTGGCAGTTTCTCAGGTGAAGTGACGCATGAGACCTGCATGGAATAAATTCGACGGGCCATCGGCTTGCTGTAGATGGCGGGGTGATTCTCAGTTCAAGCATGCTCAAACAATTTTAAACATTAACGCGCATTTTGCATGTGTCCAGTCTGGCCACTGCTGTGAATCGTCCTAAACTAGACCACCTGCTTCCACTTCAAAAAGTGTGAGGGTAATCTTGCATCCTTTGCCTGCGCCATGGGGACCTCCTTGGCCACACAGCTCATTTGCGGCAGCTCTTGCGCTGTAGGGCTGTACAAACTCAACGAGGCCATCCAGAGAAATACATGCGCTGATACGATCAACAATCGTGGCAATTCCAGATACAAAGAGGCAGTTGCATTCAACGACAGTGGCTTCTCCAAAGACTGTCCTGGCAAATATGAGGAGGCCATTGAGGACTACAACAGGGCCATTGAGCTGGACCCAAACTATGCTGTTGCATTCTGCAACCGTGGCATCGCCAAAGGCAAGTTGGGCAGGTACGAGGAGGCCATTGAGGACTGCAACAGGGCCATTGAGCTGGATCCAAACTTTGCCTCTGCATTCTGCAACCGTGGCAACTCCAAAAACAATCTTGGCAGGTATGAAGAGGCCATTGAGGACTACAACAGGGCCATTGAGCTGGACCCAAAC